TTGGGAGGAGATGTGATCCCAGCTTCACACAAGGTATGTTCCAACTTATTATCAAAGGGACTTAGAAAAGCGTTTTCGCAAATTGTCTTAGGGAACCAAGACTGTGGAGGAGTACTTTGAGGAGTTTGAGTCTCTTAGAAACAAGGTCAAGACCCGTGAGCCAGAGGAGATACTGATGGCCCAGTTTCTTGATGGGTTACAAGATCGCATTGCCCGCAAAGTGGAGAGGCAGCAGTACAAGAACTTTAATGACCTTCTTCACTATGCCATTCAAGCGAAGCAACACATCAAGAGGAAGAACGTGTCCACTGCTAGGAGCAAGACTCCTTGGGCACAAACCGGTTCTAAAGGTGTTGACAAGGACAAGTCGATTGAGGTGGAAAACCGGTTTAAGAAGAACTAGGCCGAGCCATCCAAAACCGGCCCATCCATCCAAGGTAAGAACCAAGCTCAAAATCCAAGGACCCATGACATTACTTGTTTTAAATGTCAGGGTAAGGGGCACTATGCCAGAGATTGCCTAAACAAACGTGTTATGGTCATCAAGGCCGATGGTATATGAATCCCATGATTGGGGACTGAGGGACGTAAGTCTGTGCTTCTTGTTGTTATGGCTGAAGCTGTAGACATTGGTTCAGCCATGATGGAAGGTTTCCTTATCAAACTGGTACGGCCTTCCTAGAAGTAAATGCCCGACTTGCATTGGAACAACATCACATTTAACACTATCATGGTACTTGCCAATGCTGAAAGAGACCACAACTGGATCTGCTATCTTAAGCTTAGTTTCATCATTGAGATGGTATGGTCGAGGGTGTGGTGTCTTGATCAAACCTAGCTTATTAACAAGATACTTGCTAGCCACGTTAGTAAAAGAACCGCAGTCTATAATCAAACTACACCTTGTATGAAAGATGTTTTCTCTTTAAAAGGTCCCGGGATCAAAGAGGGTACTGAGGGATCTCTGGGTCACTAGTAACTCTCCGGACTTGGCATAGTCGACCTCTTCATCTGAAGCGGTAGTCTCTACCTCAGCCTCATCTTGAAACTCATACTCACCATCAGCTTTGAGGACCATCACACGTTTGTTGGGACATTTATTAGCTTAGTGTCTTTTACCCTGACATTTAAAACAAAAAGTGTCACGAGTTCTTTACTTCAGAATCTGAGACTTACCTTGGTCGTATTTGTTGGTGCTGAAGACTTCTTTAACTGGTTTCATCTTCAACTGACTTGCCCTTGTCAACATTTCTTGAAGCCAGATGTGTCCAAATCCCTTTACCTTTGGCAATGAACACATTCTTTCTCTTAATGTGTTGCTCAGCTTGAGTTGCAAAGTGAAGCAAGTCGTTGAGGTTCTCATATGGCTACCTCTCTACATTGCGGCTAATGCGGTCTTGCAATCCTTCTAGGAAGTGAGCCATCAAAACCTCCTCCATCTCCCGAGAATTAAGCTTATTCTTTAGGGATTCGAACTCCTTAGAGTAATATTCCACAAACCTAGTTCTTTGAAATAATTTTCGAAAACGCTTTTGTAAGTCAAGTAGTTTTATCTTTGCTATCAATGACCGAAACCCTAATCCGCATCGATGCTCTCTGCATTTTTCGGCAACCCTAACATAAGCTGGCTGAGCTGACACACCACATAGTATAGTAATTATCCTTTTAATATAAAAAGGAATATATACTAAATAAACCTTCTCCAAATACTCTAAACCTTCGACATATGTATATCATCTCCCTTTCAATGCTTGTATCATTCTGTATTCGTTCAACATATATTTTGGAAAACCTTATCCGTTTGGTCGGGTCTTGATCTACTTATTCTGAGCCTATTTTGAACTCCTTTAAAGAAAAGCATCAACTCATGTTGATTACAGAACCGACCTACATATATAAGTTTCCGTAAAACATGGAAGCAAATGTGTTCATGACATAATAGACGCAAACCAATTTTTGTGTAGTTTCTCTAAAATTCTATATGGTTCAACCAATAGACCCAAATACCAATGCCAGGTTTCACTTCCAATGACCTAAAATACTAATTTGGTGAGATTTGTTTATGGGTTTTGTTATCTTACACCAATGGAAACGTCATATACACAGCGACTTAAAAAGGTTCATATCCTATCCTATGGTTTTGTATCGTAGTATATGTTGAGCAGCTTCTCCGTATATTCTCCAAACGTCAAGTCGCCATTAGAAAGAAGTACATCTTCATGGATTGTTACTTCTTTTGGGAATGTAAGCTTTTGATCCCTGATACACCAAAGAAACACATTTTTCTGTTTAAATTAAGCTTCAAATGTGTTTATCAAGACATCATAAGGAGAAGAATACCAGTCAGGTTGCATGAACAATGCAAATGTCGATCGCTCTAGACCACGAGCCTCCTCTCCTTGTGGCGCCTTAAACACACAAACAAGAAATCATGTGTCATTTTTTAAAGAAAGATTCAAACCTTGATTCACTCGAAAATAACCATGATGAACAAAATTTCCTTACCCGTACACAATGAGGTGTAGCACAAAGATAACCCCTTGAGAGAATTGCTGTTGTCTCACCGATTTGGTATGCTATTTCATCTTCCCCAAACACAACCTTAATCAAATGTAATATTAATCATATTATATATAAAGATGCATAGTAGACAGAGTAGCTCACTCGTATTTATAAGAGCATCAAATCAAAACATGCCAGTTATCAGAAAAGACAAGTACTCTACCTTAACGACTTGACTCGATCGTGTTCTTATGTATAAGCCAGAAGCAGGATCAGGGCAAGGTACTTCCACTGAATTTCTTGAAAATATTGCTCGAGTAAGACCTGTGGAAAAACGTAGAGGGATAAGATGAGAGTTTTAAATTAGGTAAACCGTCTTAAAAAGGAGCCAACCACACTTATGTGAACATTAACAACTCAGGAAAGCAAGAGGAAAAGGCAAATTTGCAACCTGTGAGTGAACCATGGTCTGTATGCCATCCACACCAAGATGAGATGGTATCGCTGTTCTGAGTAGTGCTGCATGAAGACAACATGGTCAACATATCAGACAAGTGCCTTTGTTATCCAAATGAAAATTCTGCTTTTACAGACGCATGTAACATAAGTAGAGAAAAGGCCTGTGAAGGGCAAATATAATCTTACGTATCCTGTGAAGGAAAATAATAAAGCAGACGTCCTTTGTGACACCGAGAGCCAAGTAGTATATTTTCAAGATTTTGCATTTCATGTTGTTTTATTCCCTTTGACACTGCAAATAGACAATGACGCAAACCAGGAAAACAATTTAGCACCATGACAAACCGATGAAAGATATGATAATAAAAAGCAAACATTACAAATCAGATGATCTTGGTACACTTCATACGTGGTGAACAATGCACACACAAAAAGTAATACAGATGATATGGATCCACCAGTACGAAATTACTTACCATATTGATCACAGTGGTAAGCTACCATCAGCCCGACATCAAACATCAGTTTACCAAGAGCTTTGAAAGCTATCATGTATAAAAGTAAACTCAGTTATTTGGAGGAACATAATAAACATAAAAAAAATAAGTGAAGAGAAGAGAGAAACAACGAAAACAAGCCAAGGTTGCAAACACAAGCACTGATAAGCCATTACAAACGAGCACTTCATTTTCAAAGATCCCCTAACAATTGCAAAATAAAAGCATCACACTGTTACCTCCTTCGAGTTCAGGTAAAGAATTCCTTGGCCATATGTTTGATCCACAATACCATGGATACCTACATGATAAATTGAGGTAAAACACATGAAGAAAAATAACGAATAATAGAAGACAAGAACAGATCGTTCATGTATACAACATAACACCAAATAACTTGTAAACATATTTTAACCGTTGCATTTCAGAGGAATCACTCGTGGGTACATCTTGCAAAGGATTAGCATAATAAGAACCCTTCAACATGTCTGCACAAATGTTTTATTCAAGTACTTCCATCAGACCAAGCCAAAGAAATGATAATAAGTACAAAAATTTGCAGCAATAAAACAGTTTATGAAACTCACCAAGCTTGCCAGACTCGAGTTTCTCCTTCCCATGACTCCAGCCAAAATTGTACCTAATAAGAGAAATTAAAAAGAGGAAAACAGTAACCAAGATCCTAAGTAAACAAAAGAAAGCTGAAAAAGATGGTATTATTTTACCTACTATGAGCATCTTCAAGCTCCGTCTTCACCTCTTCAGGAAGACCAGCTAACCTTTTACAGAGAAAACAAAATCCTTAAGGGAAATTGAAGAGACCTAACCTTTCTCTGAATCAACCAGTGACACATAAACTAAAAAAACATTACTTTGGTGCAAGACGAAGTAGATTCTGACGTAAAACAGAATAACCTGGAACCTACGAAGAAGAAAAAAGAAAACAATTATTGAGATCTCAAAACTTGTTACAACTGAAAAATACGAACTTTAAAGCGTGTGCGTAAACTATAGTAGTGTAACAAGTTATCTCATACATCTTTAACCGTAAGAATTCCAAGTCCATTAGGTCCAAATCCTTGTTCAATCCTCGCAGACAAATCTACGTTGTTGTCCTAAAAAGCAATCAATTGGAAGAAGAGTTTCAGAAGAAAAAAACTCAACGCTCAGAAGGCGAATAAAATGATTTTATGGTCAAAGATAAATTTTGGATTTGCCTTGAGCTCGGAGTAGGATATGGTGACGGTTCTAACCGTAGGAACGGTTGATTCCGACGAGAGAGACATATGGCGATTACGAGCAAGAGAGCAGTAGGACGGAGTCGGAGAGAGAGCACACCAGGGAATTTGAGACTAGATTTAGTTTTTTCTTTTCTTTTTTGATCAAAGAGTAGTTTTAGTTATTTACACCAAAGACTGAACGATTAGACCTAATGGACTTGAATTTTTACGGTTAAAGATGTATAGTTTGCGTACACGCTTTAAAGATCGTATTTTATTTTTAGTGTTGCAAAAACAAAAATCAGTATTTTGATGACAAAAGGCCTACATATAGTTTGAATGTGATAAACTTGAGAAATATCCGGCATTTGCAAAACCGCAAAATAAATTAATATGCAATCAAACGTTGACCTATTGATAATCTTTTTTATTCTGTCAAACTCAAAACATAAGAAGTTCAACACAGTGCTTGTTGAAACCCAATCAAAGTTCAATAACGAAACTCGGAAAATACATACATAAATAGTTCAGAATGCAACATCACTTGTTCTCTCTTGATGCAGCATTATACTTTTTTCACATATAAGCCATTATTAGCCTCTACTGCAAGAACTCTCTTGGGTCAGTGACATGACCGGTCAGGGCCGAGGCTGCAGCAGTGTAAGGGGAAGCCAGGTAAATCTGCCCTTCTTTGTTTCCCATCCGACCTGGGAAGTTCCTGTTCGTTGTTGAGACACACACCTGGTATTATTGCATAACAAATGGTTAAGTATTTTTCGAAGTTTTTACTCTGTTTTCAAGAATAGGCGAAGCACAAAATAATTAGATAAATGAACGGGTGCGTACTTGAGGTTCATTTAAACGAGCGTATGTGTCTGCTGGGCCACCAAGGCAGGCCCCACAGCTAGGACTGGTTGGTGTGTCACAACCAGCTTCTTCGAATATCTGCGCACATGTCTTTCCACCAGCTCCAGGTACTGGGAGGGCATACACATCCATCCACACCTGAAGACATGCCCAGATTAGGTACAATGCATTCGAATATTTGCATTCTGTAATAGAACCAAGCTAAACCAGTTCAGATAGTAATAGTTTTGAAAATAAAGGATAACCTTCTTAGTAGCAGGGACAAGGAAAGTTGGGACTTTGACTTGCTTTCCCTGCAAATACACAAACATACATCTCCATGAGGCTAGAGCGTGTAACGAGTAAGAGGTAATCGAGAAGAGAAAAGAACCGTAGACAAAGAATCAAAACCAAACTGACACATCCAGAGACAAATAGCAACGCTTACTACAGAATTAAGAGTACTATTGCTGGCTGTTTTTAACATATCAACTTTATAATGTCATTGCTTTATATCAAGAACACAAGATAACAGGTTTGTTTTGTAAGTTTGTAGACCATAGAAACCAAATTTCGGGAAAAAGGGTGATTAAAGACACAGCAAAACATGTGGAACTTACTGCCGCATGGAGAAGTTTAGCTGCAGCCATAAAATCCTCGGTCTTCCCACCAGTACAAGAACCGATGTATACTCTGTCAATTTTCACATCTTTGCATTCTCTTGCTAGAGCCCGATTGTCAGGAGAATGTGGCTAAAAGAAACATTGACAATATCAAACAATTTATAGTTACCTGAAGTGGTAAAAAACCATTCACATTAAAACTGGTAACCATTACAAACCCACCTTAGCCACCACAGGTTCCAGCTTTGACACGTCAAATCTATAATCTGCCACAAAGCTGTGGAACAAAACAACGAACGAATATGATCACAAAAAGGAACGTCAAATTACAGGGAATGACTAGTATGAATAGTATATTCAAACATGAATAGATTCTACTCATATGAAAAGTAAATTCGAAACATGTTATGTTACATTCCAGAGTACTGACGTATTTCCAGATACAATAATAATTTATAGAGAGATACCAGAAACCCATATTTACTCTGCCGGCTGTTATATAAATTTAGAGTACCATGTGATCATACCTTGCATTCCCATCACTATATACAGGCTCAAAGGGTACAGATGTCCTATTCTGCAAAAAAAAAAAAAAAAAAACAAGCAAAAGAAAATAAATAGCTAAACATAAGTTTCGTTGTTATAAAAGTGATTTACAGAGAAAACAGGAGCAGAATACATACCTCAACGTAATTAAATGTTGTCGCATCAGGAGGGATGACACCATTCTTTCCACCAGCTTCGACAACCATGTTGCACAATGTCATTCTTTCTTCCATCTAGCAGCCAACGTAGAATGATGCAAGGATTAATAATTCAGTGAGCTCATCAAACACCACAATTTATAGTAAATATCCCCGTTCATAGTATTGCCCAAAGGAGAAGGAAGCAAAGATTAGATTTTTACAGAAAGACTTTCAATAGTTGTGCCACTGAACTCCATCGTCTTGTAAGTTGCGCCAGCAACAGAAATTTCACCAATGATCTACATAGTTGGAAGCAAATTCAAGATTCAGATGAAAGACGTTAGATAGAATCCCTCAAATTGAAAAATGACTTCACAGTAATATGCAGTTTCGTGAATAAAATCAACACATCAAAAGTTGCGCATGGCCTCGGACTACTGTTGAAAACGATCTGTAAAAGAGCTGAAAAAGGAGATAATGGTGTAAGACAAATCACACTCACTTGCAAAATCAGATCCTTTGCTTGCAAATAACTGGGCATTTCACCATCCAATATAAACCTCATCGTTGGTGGAACCTGCCAGGTTGATATGAACTTCAGTAACAACAACTGGTATAAATATATTGGACAGGAAATCATTTTAACAAGCTTTTTTCCAAGTCAAACCGGCATCACTGGTTTCCATTTAACAAACTATATATCATAGAGAATCAAAGTAATCAGCAATATAATACAAACCTTAAGGAGGATTTTTCCAGTGCCTAACACAAAGCCTGCATCAGTGTTTCCAATCCCAGTAGCAAATTGACCAAACGCTCCAGCAGTACATGTGTGTGAGTCTGTTCCTAACAAAACCTATAATAAAAAAAAAAAAAAAAGTTAGAGCAGAAACAAATCAAATCCAGCGAGAGAGATTGTTACCTCTCCTGGCCTGCAATGACCTTCTTGTGCGAGTGCGACATGGCAAACACCTTTGTAGTCAGGATTAGCCTGCATAGTGAGAAGATGAAACACTAAACCTCATACAAAGGTGAAGCAAGATTAGAATTGAATTTTACAAGTTTGAAAACCATCATTACCCTAAAATCTCCAAGGTCGGTGATATCATAGAAATACTTGATGTTCTGTTCCCTGCAATGCTCCCTCATAATGTCGACGTTGCGGTTAGCACGCTTATCAGTTGTGAATATGTAATGGTCTGGTATAACAACGATCTTCTCCGGATCCCAAACCTTTCAACGTGGAAGTAACAATCACAAAATCACAAAATAAGCAAACCTCTGACAAGAATTGAACAAAGATAATAGCAGAAAAGCCAAGAAGAGATGCAATGACCTTAGCGTTGTCACCGAACTCTCGCTTGAAGATACCAAAAGCACCAGGGCCACAGACATCATGAGTCATAAGAACATCAACATTAACCCAAATGTTATCCCCAGGGACCACTTGTGACTTCTCTGCCGCCTTCGCCAGAATCTTCTCCGTCATCGTCATCCCAGTTTTCACCTGCAACAAGAGAAAAAAAGTAAGAGGAGAATCCAATCCCACGAGAGAGAAAGGAAGATAAAGCTCAGACCGATCCTGAGGTGGCCGGTGATGAACGCTGGGGAGCCATGACGGAGACGATCGATTTCTTCTGACATCTATGAACCGAAATCTGCGATGGTTTTGGGAACGACGAAAACCCCAAACCCTTCTCCCCCCCAAATTAACAACGATGTAAGAAAATTTTGAAGATTTGAAAGGAAGTGTGAAATCGAGAAAGGGAAGATGAATGATAGTAACTAACCTTAACCTTGGTGGAGGATTTGCAGACGAAGGGAGAGGATGAGATTACAGCGGAAGCCATTATTTCTTCTTCTTCTTATGGCTGTCTGAAAAAAAACCTAATAAAAACGCACGCCTCTTTCTCAATTACATAACAAAACTCACAAATTTATATATAAAGTCTGCGTTGAGCCGTTGACTGATTGCGAGACCGGGAGAGTCTTTAGGTTGGTGACCCTTTGATTTTCCTACTCACGTGATACACCTCTTTCTCTCTTTTCTTCCTCACATCTATCTATCAATATTATTAAAAATACAAATAATTCTTCTTTTAAAGATCAATCAAAATCTTTCCTGAATCATTTTAAAATGATTTTGAAAATTAGTTAATTTAAGTTATAATTCTATTAAATATAATTAGAATTTTAATTTAATTTATTTTTGATTTATAAAAAAAATTAAAATTGTATATAATATTTGGACATAAATTATTTAGAATGACTCTAAATTTTTTATATTATAAACTAGGGTCGGGATATAATTTACGGATAGTTTACATTAAAAATATTGTAATTTTTGTGCTTTATATTGCATAGAAAATTTTTGTTATTGAGTTATTATTTTGTAATTTTACAAATTTTGGAAAGATGGGATTATATGTTTATCATAATTTATTTTGGTTTGGTTATGGATATATCAGATATATAAATTTTGTATTTTTAAGTTATATGATTATTAACACAATAGTGGTTATCAAGAGGTATTATATCCACAGTTACGGTTTAATACAGTACGTCTAGATATGATATTAATGAGTTGTAGATCTTTATATATTGGGATATTGGTGTTGTTGGCAGTGAGTGCCATATCGAATATTTCTGTGTCTATGTTGGATCTTTATCAGGTGACATGGCATATGTAAATCGTAAAGAATTGCAGCGTCAAACATATTTGATATGTTGTGTGGGGTTTAAATGGTTTTGAATCCATGGTCGAAGAGATTTTTCATGCGTGAATCTTTTTCTTGTAACATATTATATATCTTTGTCTGTGTGATAAGCATAAGTTGTTTGTAATTTCTTAATGTTGGTTGATTTTTATAATTTGAATCTATGGTCGAAGAGACTAATCATTCGAAGAGACTAATCGTGATGTTTTCTATAACTTTTAATATCTAAACAGATAAGTTATGTTAAAGTAGAATAATTTTTGAAATTGAAAAATTGAAACAAAGTATAGAAATTAAAACCCATGAAAACTGAGAAGTGTATAGCCTTGTCGGTGTTGTTATTTGTTTAGATCAAGCGCATGAATTTCTTCATCTGATTATAATAGAAGCAACAGATGCATCTGTTTTCTAAGTCATTGATACGACTCTTCAGTGGCATTTAGTGTTGGCCCTGAATATTTTTATACCGGAAGTAATTAAAAAAAAAGGCTTATTGTTGTAGTTAGGAATTGAACACATTACCTATATCTCTATTTTAATTTTTATTAACTTCTAAACTACTTAATATTTTATCAAATATTTTGGGCTATATTTTACATAAACAAAAAGAGGCCCAAAACTTATGCCTTGTGTCCATCCCCTCAGGGCCACTACTGGTGGCATTATAGAATCATATTTTCACGTATAGATTGTTTTTTCTTGTTAAAGACATTTGTGTTTCTTTTTTTGTAATTGGGCTTTGTTGTGATTAAATTGAGTCCATTAATATATCTTATTAACTTATTAAAAACCCAGTTGTTACTAACATTATTTCTGTCTCGTCTCTTTCATAAAGTTTTCCACTGAGTTTTCTAGACAAAGGCAGAGACGGATGTTTATTCACGATGGATATGTGTCTTAACCGGTCCGACGAGGGGGAAAGGCAGTGCATAGACGGAGGCTGTCGGAGCTCGCCGCATTCTTATCTTCACTCGAGCAGAAGAGGAGTAACAATGGTTAGTCCTTCAGGTTTCTTAGTCAGAGTTTTTTTGATATCACTTGGTTTTTGTTCATGAGTGGCGCCATTTGTCTCAGTACCCTAGTGGTTCGCTGAAATCTCTGGTGAAGGATGGTGGTTCCTTTAGTTGAGACCTGTCGCTGTAATCTATTTCCAATAATTAATCTCCCTATTTTGAAGCTTCGACTCATTCTCGTAAACTTTATGTTTTTTGATGGAGATCTTATTTAAGAAGTGAGGTTGTAGGCATGAAGCTTGAGGGTTCTGTTCTTAGGGTCTTCTCACCGGTGATGTATCCGGAATAGTTAAGGGGTAGGTTTGGTGTCGCTGTAGCTCGGGAACTAGAGACGGATACTATCCTGACTCGGTGGTCCCTCAATCGGTTGACATGTTTTTCCGTCGAGCAATTGTAATAACATGAAGCTAATGCCAATCCAATTTATTTTAGACTACAAATCAAATTAAGCCCAAATATTGAAAAAAAAAATCATAGTTCTTAAGAGAGAGACATATGTCAGCTTTTTCTCTTTCTAATTAAAGACATGGCAGAGTCAGGAGGGAGGAAAGCCTACTTTATATAGACCCACCCTACAGGCGGAAAATTAAAATTATTTTATATATTTTTATGAAACATTTGAAAATTATTGTAGATTGAAAATAATATCATAAACAAATAAATATTGAATAGAATTCTGAGTTTATATATTTATTTTTAAGAAACATTTTAGTTTGAATTAAAATGATAGTGACTTTCATTATACTCAGAGAATACAAAATTAGCAAAGATAAATAAGAAAAGAGTAGAAAGACTGTTATATGTTAACATACGGGAAAAATAGGTTTTATAAACAGCCTAAAAATGTAATGGATGTTAAAAGTGTTAGAAGTCTTAAAGAAAAAACATAATAAAATAGAAAATATTTGACGATATTTAAAAACATAAAATAGCTATTTATTGACCCTAATACAACTGTTATACGAAAGCGTTAAGAACAACTCTAATATATTGTTTCTCGGTCATGTGATTAGTCGATCAATAGCCCACGGCTATCTCTTACCTCCATCATAACCGTGTCTCCCGTCATACACTCATCACAGAGGTAAACCTCTGGCTCACACATTTACGTAGCCACCGAGTTATATAGATAGATCATTGCGTAAGTCTAAGCAACAACGGCTTTATCTCCGGCTGCTCTTTGAAAGGCTTTGATGTGAATGATCAGAAAATGTATAAAACAGTTAGTTATTTTATCTTACACATTTCTCCTAGTACCATGGTAGAGATCGTTATTCTATTTCAACTCACTTCTACGCATAACATTCTAGAGCTGAGGTACCTTTATCTCTGTCATTACCACGTTGGCCCCTGCCTCCACCACTTCATGCCGCTTCTCAGGACCCCTCCTTGCTCGTTTTGAATGCCACTAAATATGATAGGATATGATATGAAGAGATTTGACACTTACATTGGAAGGGGCGGCTCATAGAAGGAGTTGCACGTCTTCCAAGTCTTCCTCTCGCGACTCAAACCCGCAAACACATAGATGCCGTGAAACAGTGAGCTAGAGAATCTCGAAACTATTGGTGTAGAGTTTTTAACATTGTCATCATTGTTTGAATGTTGTCTTTTTCTAAACCAATAAGTGAATAAAGTTTTTTTTTTTACAGAAATAATAAGATTTAGATACCTAAGATCACGTCATTGTTAACATCAGAATCATAATTTGAGTCAGGGACCAGGGTTTTATGACACGCCGGGTCTGGTTCCTATTGATGGACTCACCTTAAACATATATCTCTTCCCTTTGATTTTTCTTAACCACAATTCCGAGAATTTTTTTGATTTAGGTTTGCATTTGAAAGATGTGGATGATAATGGTTATTTGTCTTTAAAAGTATTTGCGTGAAGAGGGTAGCAACTTGAGAACATCGCTACATACATAGATCCCACCCGGTTGGTGATAAGATGTCAGTGTAACATTGGAAATGTATTAAGCATGTGCCATGGTCACCACCATTATGAAAGCATAACAAATATTCAAAAGTAATACCGCACGGTCATTTATTTGTACTGTGCTTCAGTTTCTGCAAAGCACAACTCTATTTCAGTTGAATTTTGTAACGTAGAAGAAATTTGCAGCACTTTTGAAATGTGCGTACATAGATACAATGTTATCATGTGCAAAGCATACATGTTACATATGTTGTGTCAGTGATGTTAAATCTGTTTAATGCTCCTGAATTATTAATTTCTTGTAAGCACATTTTACTACATAGAACGTTCATTGTACATAGAAGAGATCATATAGGAATTATATCTTTTTTTGTCCTTATTTAGATGTACTATTTTTAATTTTATTATGAAAATATATGCTGACCATGTGAACCCAATCTTAGTGATCTAATGTGTTGTGATAAATTTATAAGTCATAAATAAGCATTTTATAGATAGTTTTGAAAACATATGAAAAACCAGTAGAGAACTGAAACGTAAAAAAAAGGACACAACATCAACGCATAAGCATTATTCAGAAAGTCATTATCTTCACTAAAGCCATTTGTGCCTTCTTGGACACCTTGGTAGTTGATGTTGCTGGAGACTTTTGGAGGTGAGACCACTTGAAGATATTCCCACAGTTGATGATTTCTCACGATCATTACCACTTACGACCTTTTGGAGGTTAGACCACTTGAAGATGTTTCGACAAATAATGTTATCCCCTGCATTAGTCTCCTTTTCAAAAAAATATGTGTCCCTGATGTTGACAACACCTTATATGGTTAACAACTCAGAAGTAGAGGCTTGAAGATCTACCAAACTCCTTCCTACCTTTCATTGGCAATTTCTCTGGTAGGATTAACTTATACTGCTTGCAACAAAATATCTGGAAAGGAATAAAGTTCTCTCAAGCAAATTATTGGTTGGAAAGTCTATTTTATTCATTTTACTTACATCGAGTCGCTGCATAAAAACAGACGTTTGTAAGACTGTTCTTTTCCTCTAAACATTATGTACCATCAGTTTTGATGAAGCATATTCGTAGTCCTCCTCACAAATATGAAAGCAAAAGAAAGAGAAAGACTATATAGAGCTGGAGGAAGGAAAGAAGCAGCTCTTAGTTAACATTAAAGCACATAGAAAGAAGATAAGTAGTATAACAAAATGATAAGAAAAAGCAAAAAATGCGAACACAAATATTGCACCTTGTAAGAGTCATGAGAACAATTTCATGATCTATCGCATCTCGACCTTATAAACCTACTCACGATCTGTTTTATTATCTTGTGTAAAAACTCGTTTTAAGAAAATTCACTCAATTTGTCATGAATTCTTCAACATGCTTATGCACAACTCTCCCTGAAGCTTCACTTTAATAAACATACACGGAGAGAGGAAGAAAACAAAAAATAGGGCTGGAAAATTACCAAGGATGAAATGAAAGCTTGAACAATGTTTCTAAAGTGTGAACTCTCTTGTTTCTCTGCTGTGTTCTAGTGTTTGGTGTGCAGAGTGTAGATGCAGGTCTATATCCAGAATTAATGTGAAATATCTTATCCGGCTATATTGACGAACAGAAAGTAGGAGCAATACCTGGGGTTGTGTGTTCGTGTTGGCTAGACCATTCACTTGGTTACTGGTTCGGTTACCTCATTGATAGAGGACGCATCACTGAATCAAATCAGTAGGGAGGATTCCGACAGCCTGTTCTGATTACACCATGTGACATAAAAACCGGTGATGGAATAAGGCCTGCAAGTTGCAAGCCAGTTAACATTAAAGGTGGCCGATAGAAAGGTTGCCTGAAACACATTTTGAAAGGAAGAATAATAAAAAACAGTTTCTAATTAATCATCTAAAACTTAATCTATACAGATATGAGTTTAAGAACACTTTGAACATTAGCTTGAAACTTCTAAGAACATGAATTTAATAACACATTTCTAAATAAGTTTTCTGAGTTGAGAGGATTATGTTCAAAGAAAGAAGGCTTACCTTTTATAGGAGTAGAGCCACCGCCTTGCAAAGGGATAAGATGCATTTAGTGCCAGATCATGGTCCATTTCTGTTTGAACATATTCTTCACTCGGAATCTCCATTCTCAAGCAAATTATTTCTCCTTGACGACAAACCCTTATGAGATATTGAAGTCATCCGCTCAAGAAAGAAATGATCTTTAGTTGTTGATAAACTCTGTCTCTTCTTCCCCACTTCCATAGTAACCTCTTGTCACGTGGGATTTCTCCCTTTTTAACAAATGTTTCAGTTTCCTCATGGAGTCAAAGAGGATTTCATGGTGTCAAAGTTTCAATTGTTGCTGAGAAGTAATAACAAATTCGTTGAGCTCAGATATTTTGAGAGGCTTGATCTTCAAGTCGGCATTCCGAATCGACGGGTTGATGAAGATTGCGATGAATTAGAAGAAGAAAGTGATGAACTTCACACAATTAGAGTCGCTGATTTATAGAATTGTTACGTTACAAAGAGTTCAAGTTAACTGGAGAAGGAGGCTAGGTCACGGGAGGAAGATGAAGTGTGTTAGTGAATCAATGGGCTTCTTCTAGACATGTTACTGGCCCATATTGAACATAAAGCCCTTGTTTCTTTGACGAAGCCCAATGAATTAAAGTTTGACGTGTCACTTTCTGGTGTTTCTAATTAGTGACGTGCCTTTCTTATGAAAGAGAGAAGTCTACTTTATATAATTAGATATAGCACATTGGGGTCAAAGTGATTAAAATGTTTCATAAAAAAAGTAAACATAGACTTTATAATTTTAATGTTTATAGAATCTTTAATTATATTACATATGATATGATGATCAACTATCTGCAACAATATTGATAAACAACTCGATAGATAATGCTATCTCCAAAATATTTGATCGACAGACGGTTCTGCATGTACGACATTCTCGATATACATGTTCTCCACAGCAGATAATAACAACGCATAAAAATTGCATGTTCTGGGATTCGAACTCTAGACATGTGTGTAGAAACTTTTAAAAACTAACCAATAGCTTATGGTGCTTCCGCAACTAGTGTATATGACACTGGATAAACCAACTCAAACCAACTTATATCCATATGAACCAATACTCTTATGGATTATATAAATAAACCCAATCCATGTAATTAATGATTTGGATCGATCTATAACTTATTTAAATTAATAGATTAATGGTTTTAATGAGTCGACTCGCTGTTAAATATTATCATTACTAGATATTTTGGCCGTGCTACGCGCGGCTAGTCTTTTAAATAAAACTTTTGATTATATTGTATATATATAAAATATATTTTATAATTAAAACAGAAAAATAACGATTGAAAAAATTGTTGGTTAATTCAAGCAAGAGTTTCATAAGTAATAATAATAAAGAACAATTTTGTTTTTCAGAAAATATAGATTTTCTAGTTTTTTAAACAGAACCCTCTTTTTTTTTTTAGTATAAATAACTTATATAATAATTACTAAAATGTTTTAATCTATATTTTTATATTTTCTATCTTTAAAATAGACAATAATGACTATCAGAATCTAAAAGTAACTATATAAAATGAATTGACTTTTATCTAAATTTAAAATGATATTATATAAATTTAAGAATATATATATATATATATATATTTGTTGTTATAAATAATGTTTATTTATTGTATTTATTTATAAATTGGATGATATTAATTTATCATTTCCATCAATGTTTTAAATACCAAACCGAACATTGACTTGACATTGCAATTAGGTCAATGGGCACGGATCCAATTGGATTGTAAATTTAATTAATTTTAAATTAAGTATCTATATATATATTTATATACATATGTATAACTATAAAACTATTTTTATAAGATTTTTCATCATTGTTTGAAGCTAAAGCTAAAATGAGATGGAAATAAAATGAAAACTTCAAAATAATATAAAATATAATGAAAAATAATTTATTTAAATAGATTATGTACCTTGACCGTAGCTCATGTGATAGTGGAGGTATCACTGTGAACCAATGATTTTGTTCCTGTGGACACCAATGAGAAAGACGAAGTTCCTGCTCCTTTTATAACCTTGCTGTATCGTCCAAGCCATTAAGGTATACTCTACCCCAAGCCAGCTTGTAAGGTATAAACACTTAATCCCTATATAACCTCTCTTCCCTTAGATTTTGCCTGGTTTTAAGCTAATGGGTGTGTTTGTTACAGGTAGTGGACGATGTGGAGAAATGATCATTTGACATAATAAAATGTATTAGGAGATGTTTACATAATTGTGGTAGTATGGATTCATGAAACCGTGGAACAACCACCGATTACATCATCTCTTTGCTCCTTGCATATAAACCCTTTTGGCAACATCAGAGAATGGAGTTGTTTTGTTTTACTAAATAATATATTCATGAAAGTTATTTTCTGCAGTGTACCAAATTGAACCAAAGGGTTGGCCATACAACCAAAGACAGAGGTCTAAGTTTATTTTGATGGCTTGGTTGATGTCTTTAAATTGAATTTGAATATATTCATGATAGAAACAAACCTGTTAGACTATTGCTTATGTAAGTAAAAAATAACAGATTTTGGCAAAAAGGTGTATCACTAAGAATGGCTTATTCAATCAGTTGTAAAAAGAAAGTGGAAAGATTTTTTTCCTTTTGTAAAAGATGGTGAAACCTTGGTAGGAAGGAAGTGTATATTCTTGAAATTGGAGTGTTGTGTGGTATATTGACGGGTGAACTACAACAGGAGCTTCTACTTGCATTGTTAAGTCTTTAAACTGAAGAGCTATTATTGGTTTTGATAGCATCACAGCTACGCTTAACCGCCTTTCATTTTCAAGCGACTCTTGTGATGTGTAATTCCTATATGCCTCATCTTCCAAAGGATTTGTTACTACCGCAGGGCTCACAGGCCTCACCCTGCAAGATTTCAATATAGATTCCTTGTAATAGACGGTGTCCACTATAGTTTGACATAAGTAGAAGTAGAAGTAGAAGCAGAGGCATTCACCCGCAGTGGATGTGGCAAGAGTACTTGAGGAGGTTTGGGTTGTATTTTGTGTTGCCTCTGCCATTATTTGACATTATTGATGAGCGACATTTTAATTGTTGGTCCCATCCATTTTCTGAGTTTGGTCTCTGATTCTGAGGTAGCATCAGTTAGATCATAGTTAGATATCAAAACATGAAATAAGTTATACTCAGAATATATAATTCAGGTGCTAAAGTTAGGCCAATAAGCAAAGAACTCACCATCTGATCTTATTTGGATGTTGTAGATATTTGCAGAAACAGCACTATCAACTTCACGAACTTTAACCTCCATCAAATCCTGAGGGTGAGACAGAGTAGTTCCGAATCCAAATGTGTCCAAGAAACCTAAAGCTCTTTCCCTTTTTAGCTTTGGAACTGCAGTGATATTCTGTTCACAACCAACAAAACCAATTTTACTCAAAGCAGTAACATAAAAGAAGATTAAGACACATGTTTCATCATCTCATTCTCCAAGAGTGTAGGAAGAATTGTTTTTGTTGTTAATGTCTCTACAATCATCCTCCTTCTGACAATTCACAGTCTGAGTATCTTACCATGTAACTCCTTGACAGCTCTGTATGTAGAAAGACTCTTGTGAGCTTCAAAACCCATTCCAAAAACAAAACCTTTTACAATCAGCAAAAACCTGTAGGATCTTTGACATGTTTTGCTTCAGAGGAAAAGCTTTATCTCAGCATCATAAGCTCTGTCATGTGTGACTGAGTTTGCTTAGTCACATGTGTGAAAAGCTTGATCCCTACATAACACATTGTCTTTCAATAACTCACCAGATTACAAAGGTCATGTCTTCAAAACCCGTTGCACATAAATTCTTAACCTTTTTCTTTATTTAAGAATGGGTAATCACTAAACATTAAAACAAATGTGTGAAATGAAGAGATGGTACCTGGAGAGACATAGGTTGAAGCAGATCGATGGTTCTGCCACTGGGCAGAGTCAACAACGTGAGAAGTAAATCTCACATCAACAGCATAACCTAACCTGAAAATTAAACAAATCCTAGAGTGTTATCAACTATTTTTCAATTCTCTATTTCAAATCACAATCAAATTATAGAGAAATCACACTGATCTCTGTTATACCTCACCAAAGACACCATTTCCAACAACAGTCAAAAGCTCAAAGTCATCAATCCCTATCTTACGTATCTGAACCCTCATATACAGAGTCTCTCATCGAGCAAGACTCCTCATTATCTCGTCTTGTTCCTCTGAAACTCTCTGCGTCTGCAAAATCAAATCAAACAATAATAACACAAATCAAATCCTCAAGTCAAGCAAAAGTCAACCCTATTCAAAAACTAAATCTGATCCAAAATTGAAGCTTTTTACGAACCTTTCCATACGTTTGTGCAAGCCTTGCAAGTAATTCTTGTAATGATTCTCGATTAATTGCTTCGCGGCAGCTGCTTTCTGACGCGTCACCGGAGACGAAACAGCAGAAGCGGACTCCAATTCGAATCCTCGATCAGGTTCGGCGTTTACACGGCCGACACGAACGGTTCCATCGGCACCTCCGTCTATTTCTGAAGCAGATCGGCATAGAGAAAAAAAGAATTGGTGAACGTAGAGAAATGGAAGAAGAAGAGTGAGATGTTTTAAGAGATATGTTGAGGATAATAATGAAGAAAAAGAGTGATGGAGGAGAGATCTAAATGAGCTGTTGAGAAGATGAATCGGCAAGTCTTTTACAAAATTATTATGATGGTTTGTACTTCGCAGAAAGGGGAAAGGGGAGATGGGCTTCACAGTCAATTCAAAAACGTTGTCAGGCCGGAGAAAATTAAAGCCCAAATGACGAAGACAGGCTGCTGACGTGGTAAAAATCTGAACTCTTATTGGCCGATTATTTATGTCGACGTGGACAGGCTGAAATCCTCTCATTATGGCCTTTTAATTATAGTAGATTACAAATCAATTAAAATAAAATAAATAACTCATTTAAATTTTCAAATAAAATATCATTAATATTGTTTTAAAATATGATTATACAAATCTAAAAGTAAAAAAAACTTATAAAGTTATAAAACATAAAATAAAACAGAGTATTTTATCAAACCATTGCTATAAAGTATGTGAATGGACCAAATGGATTTCTTTTCTTTTTACTTGCAATGGTAGATGACTTTGAATAAACCAAATGCACCTCTTCAAAACCAAGGGAACACAATGAAGTTCGAACAAAAGCACTCAGTGTATAACCTAGCCAAACCCCAAACCCCAATACTTTATACAAGATGAAAACCAAACCACTACTGAACTCAATAAATATTTTACACAAGATGAAAATGAAAAAAAAATACTGAATTGAACAAACAATTTACACAAGATGAAAACAAAACCAATACTAAACTAAACAAACACTTTACACAAGATAAAAAAGAAACCAATACTAAACTCAAGAAACACTTTATACAAGATGAAAACGAAACTATTACCAAAAGTCAGCTTAATCACACAAAAGCAGAGTGACATATAAGACCCAAACTCAAGTGGAGAAATAACAATAACCTTTGTTCAATGTCTCCTTGTGTATTTTTAGTTCCTCAAAGCCTGGGAATTCTCTTTGAGTGTCTGTGATGATGTATCGTTGGCTGCTTCTAGATTCTTCTACTTCATTTGGACCTGATCGAATAATAACCATCTCACCTTCGCCATTATCTACAATACATTTGTAGAGTTAACATACATCTCAATTCGCATCAACACCATGTATTCAAGAACGTGTACATAATAAGCCTGAACATTACTATGAAACAATCTATTTAGATATTAGCTTATAATCTGAGAACCAATACTAAATGAAATTTCAGAAGCCACATTAGTTATAGGAATGCTAAGCACGTCCATTGTGATATATGTCAAAGCGCCAAAACGATATTTATTATCTTTCCAATACTGTAAAACATTCAAATTAGGATGACTCCTCATATCTAAATTTGGATCCTCCAAATATATATCCAAAACTGACTTTTCTTCTTCCATATAGTTTGGAACATCATCTAAATCGAACAGATCATGTATCATTCAAAGAGAAGAGATTGATGATCATTTGAAACTTAAACGAATGATTATCTAATGAACAAACATAAGTTAAAAACTAAAACAGAACTTACATAATGTACATCCAAGTTCCCTCTTCTTCATTTAGCAACACGAGAGTCTACCCTTGTAGAGTTCACAACATGAGTTAAAGGATATTTTTTTCCTATACTCTTCAAAAATCTTATAAAACTTATCCGTAAGGTGTTTAATCTTTTATTTTGAAGTGAAAGGATCAAGTCCATCATAACAATGCTTCAAAATTCTAAATTTCATCCTAGGATCAAAGACAGCCCCCATTACTACAATACACTATATTGCTCCCAATATTTATCAAACTTTTTCTCATCTTAGAAATCATCTCTCTAATGATGTTATCTTCATTGCCCCTCTTCACTTCCAACAAACATTGAATCTTCTAGCTATGCCCAAAGTATAAATTAGATGTAGAATAAACTATCCCAGACATTAGCGTGGTAATACAATAAAAAGGCATCAAAATCTCATGGATAACTTTGCTCTTTTCCATAATTGACCTGAGGGACAATGTATGTAGCTTTTATCAACCACTTTGAATCTATTTAAAGCACTCTCACACTTCAAAGATTTATCAAGTATTAAATAAGTTGAATTCCATCTATGCTGAACATCCAAAGACAAGACAACTTTTTTATCACCTTTTATTCAATATGAAAGTGCAATCCCTCTAGCTGTTGAAGCTTTGAAATACTTATAGTATCTCAAATCTTAGACAATGTGTAACTAATAACATCTAAATAATCTTGTACTATAAGAATGAAGATGTAAGAAATGCACCGACGTGAAAAGTTCTCCTTTACACAACAGATTATTATCTAAATTTAGCCAATCCTTCAAAATTTCTTCCATACATTCGTGCAAAAATGACTTGTTAGTATGCTTTCAGACAGACACAAGAGATGGACTAAGTCCATGAACTTAAGTCAAAGGAAAAATATACATACAAGAAAAACAATACTTTTACAAATGAGACATCAGTTCATCACAGTCAATGGCAGACACCAAAAAGTACTAGTTAACATTATTCAGTAAAATCTCATTAGAGTTACTATCACTGATTTCTACTTTCCAATAGACATCTCAATCAAAACCCATAAACTTCTAATTAAGTAGAATTTCAAACCAACATGAAGAACTGATAAAATGAAAGAGAACCCCACCTCAGATTATGCCTCTCTGAAGCTGAGATCCCTCTAACGATATCATGAAGAATCGATTCAAGTAAATCCAGATAGATATAACTTGGATTCAAACTCTCAATAACATTCTCATCAGCATATAAATCGAACAAAGTTGAATTAAAAACTCAATCATAAGAATCGATTGAAGTAAAACAACAAAAACTCCAAAACACCCAAAGCTAATATACAAACAAACCTAAAATTAGATTATGAGAAACAAATGATTCAAATGATGATGGAGCTATCTTGAAGCACTCTACAAACCCAGATAGATCAAACTTTTGGATTCATAGTATTTCGGATCTGAAATCGTTCGATGAAGAAGATGAACTCTTTTTTTATTAAGTTTGACTAAAATGGTTTGGATTGAGTTATCCATTTACTCATTTTAGTCCAAACCATTTGAACCAACTTATGAAACTCACTAATCTATGAAGTCCATTTATCCACTAACATCCAATTTTATGACCCATTAATATCCATGGATTGAACTTGTTTAGATTGATCCACTATTTTAAACCAATTTTGACACCTCTATATATGTTTTTTTTGGACAAACATACTTTTCATTTCACACTAGAGTTTAGTCTCCAACAATGGAGTTCATTACAGACCTTGTAAGAGAAATGAAACTAAAGAACATTACATCAAAGAGAGGTACAAAGTGATAGATAACAAACGTGAAACCGAACAGTTCAGATAAAACCGCCAAGGATCGGACGTTTGAGAAGACAGCGCATGAAACCGCGCGATAAACAGCAAAGGCTTCAGCCATAAGTGCTGATGATACATGATTGCGAGACTCGCAGAGATTTTGTAGGGAGATGGTATTCTCACCCGAGAAGATGACTCCAATGTCACAGTGCCAAGACTTAGCATCCCAAACTGCATCCTCATTACAGAGATGTCCTCGTATCCCCACAACACAAAGAATAGCAGAGGCGATGTGATACCAAGATGTTGAGCCCTTGAACACTACAAAGAGTGAATCATCTGTTGACAGTGCTACACATGAGCAACAACAATATAAAACCAATGGTGATAGGAGAGTTGAGTTTGGTTTCAACGTAGTGGTTATAATCAACCTCTGAACCCACCATGTATCTGAAAATCTGCAAACTAACATTGAGTATTCCACTCTAGGCGAGGTTAAGGCAGAAAAGAAGAAGCTTCGAGATGGTGAACAAGACGTCTTTAGGGCGGTGGTGAGGCTCGTGCTTAGAACAGGGAGGAGATGCGCCGGAGAGAGACCTTCATTATGGTGGTGGAGATGGCTGTGCGGCTGCCTCGGACTTCGTGTCGGAGAGAGAACCAGCTAGGGCGAACTCCCACATTGTCATGTTTGCATACACCTCTATATATGTAGGGTTTATATTTAAGGAGTGGGGTTTTTGGGTGAAGAGTCTAGGATTCTAAGGTATAAATAAAAAATATAATCTAAATATAAATTTTAAAATAGTTTCAATTTTTTTTCGAATTTCAAAATAAAATTTTGGAAAAAAATTAAAAAACATTTATAGAAGTTTGATTTCAAAAACATATAGTTCGAGAAGTATAAGTTTTTTATTTAACAATATATATATATATATATATATATATATATATATATATAAGTATAAAGTAAGCATAGAAAGGCTTTTGCTCTTTAATGAAAATATTTTTGGTTATTTTCTCATTGTGATTTATTTTGGTAAAAAACTTAACATGTAATATTAGTTCCACAGTGATCACTCAGATCAAAGATCTTTGACACAATAGCTATGATCATTTCCAGTTGAGCTGAACGAATGTTTGTCCTTTTCAAGACCAGCTATTGTGTATGCAGTAAATAAGATTTCAAAGTACATGAACCAATCCACATCATATCACTTTTAAGTAAACAATCAAATAATTATCTATCTTCCAGGAACAATTACACATGTTCCGATTTTCTTAGCTCATATTCATATTCAAAGACATAAATTTTAGATGTAAAACGGAAAATATGGTTTGATGATTATGTTTCAGCCAATGTTTATAGAAATCATCAAGAAAGTTATCCTATATCATGGTCCTTAAGAAGAAAATTGAAGATGCATGTCGTTAGTATGAAGTAAAATATCAGTTAGTGGCAAGTGCACGCCGTATACTTTCTTTGCTTACAGCTTTTAATTTCAATATCACCGCACGGGTAGTATATTTTGTCAGTGTTGATGTAACATCAATGTGTACGCATCCTATTTTCATTCATGGATATTGCACTTGCTTATCACTTTACATGTGATTACATTTAGAACATTTTACTTTATGCTTCACATGTGTCTACAAAAGATCAACTAGTGGGTACACTTACAGAACGACTACCACATCAATCTTCATAAACATATGCGGATTGGAAAAATCAGAGAAAACTTCATTGCCAGAATTTAAAGATAAAAGGTAAATAAGTGAAGATGGCTGGTAAACTTATAAGATTTGTATTTTTAGCTATATGTAAGCAATAAAAACTGTTTACGAAAAATGTGCATGATCATGCCAATAGCCAAAAGTTCTTATGGGTCTTGGTGTTAAGAACATAGCCTCCATTTTGACCTTTCTTCTGTACGCCAACACAAGTGCATTTGCTGTTCTCGATCAGATATTCCGCTGTATCTATTCCTTTTGATCCTATTAGAGAGCCGCCAGGCCGCCTAGATCTGTTAATGCAAGCCATCTGGGTGTCATTCTTTGTTCAAGGAAATCTTGAGCTCAAAACTTAAAAATGTGTTTGGTATTTTAAAACAAAATATATGTACAGCTGCATATTTTTTTCTCCCAAGCTTGTGGCCGTCTCATGTTTTACGATTTTCAAATATGTAACAATTCATGATTCTTATTAAACTGATCATCAGTAGAGATAGAGAGCATACCCTAGAAGGGAGGATGAAATTGTTCTGCGTTGGCCAATGATGATAACTTCAACCCCAAGTTTGTCTCCATGAAGAAGAATAGCTGTAGCTTTGACGCCGTCCATGGTTATACACTCTGTGTGAACACGCACCTTCGGTTGAGCAATTTCACATATCCTTTTCATCTGTTCAAGGAAATTCCCTTCTGCTTGACCAATCTCAGAGGCCAAAGATGAAGTTGTGTTTGTAATATTAACGTTAGCATTAGCCCCCGGTGAGGAGGCATTGTTGCTCGAAGAGGAGGAGGAGCTTGGTAATCTTAAAAAACTTGAAAATGCATTTTTCCATGAGCCACCATTGTTTTCAACATGGACGAGGATGAGCTCATCTTGCTCGAGCACCGCGTGTGAAAGAGCGTATTGAAGAGCAGCTGCAGATTCACGGGTCGGGTCAGCGATCACCATGATCTTGCGTGATTGTGGTGTTGAGGGTGGTCCTCTACGACTGTCTCCCATGTCCTTTGTATCTTCTAACTTTTTTTTTCCTCTGCCTATAGCATCACCATTTTTGATGTCATTGTCTTGTTTTTTTTTTTTTATCTTATTCCAAATGTGTGTTTTGTTTTCTTTGGATCAGTGAAATTCAGCGTATCGTTAATTAATGATTTGTTGTCACAGGTTCTGTTATCTCTGAAAAAAACATATGAAGGATCAAAGACATAACTATTTTTTTCTGTATGTTTCTTTCTTTGGGAGGCTACAATTAGAAAAAGGTGGGAGAGAAAGAGAGAGAGAGAAAAACATAATTGTGGTTGTCGTAGTTGGTGTTGCTATTTTTGAGGAATACGTCACATTTTTAGTTAATTTTAGACGTTAACTTCTAACACAACAACACATCCAAATCCTGCAATCAATTAAATTACATTTATTGATTGTTTCTGCTAAAAATTCTCAAGATGCTATGTCTCCAAATTCAGTTTCGATTGGGCCATCAAAACCAAATATTCTTTTGACGATCAAGCTAAAAACAAATGTTTTACAAAATTGGACTTAAGTGAAAACTTTCAATTAAGGCTCCACCAAATTTAGCTTCATTTGAGACATAAGAAAAATATTCTTGTGACAATCAAGTGAAAAACAAATCAACACATAATAAGACAATAGTCTCTCTAGTGGTTGACATCTCAACTTTTAAAAATTTTACATGTCAATAAATAAAAAAGTTAAAAGCTAATGAACATTCTAAAGTTACACATATGATTTATAAAATAACACTTAAGCGTATATTCACGGATCGTGAGCTGCTACCTCTAGCCTTTACTTTGCTGGCTAAGATCATGTTGTTGACGTAAGAGATCTTGATGTGTCATTGCAACAGTCACACTGAGTCTGCTAACAATGGTGGATGCGATTTGTGAAAGAATCTGAAGTGTCTAGAACAAAACAAAAATAAGAGATGAGTCTCTTAAAGAGAGAATAAATATTCTATATCACAATCTATGTGACTGTGATCACTACAAACTTAAGGAACAAAAACTTCACTTTTTTTAATAGAAGAAAAATCTGAACTTATTGATTTACATCACAACGACAAGGGTTTAAATAGGATATTAAACATTACAAGTGAACAATTGCATTTCTTTAATGAATGAAGATAGTTGTCTCCTCAGTGGAGATTGTTGATGTTCCATACTTTTGAGATCTCTTCTATACCACTTTGCGCCTAACTTAGATGTCTTCCTCCAATTTATTTCTGCGAAGGTATCTCTCAGTGTTAACATGATACTCCTCGTGAAACCGTCTGAACTGGAGATAAAAAAAAAATCCTTATTTGATATCAACCAAAAGAAAGCACTAGGACTAGATGGCATGAAGAGAAAATTATACACGAATTCTGGTGTAAAATGCGCCAAGACATTATTAGATCAGTGAAAGACTAAACCAGACGAATATTTTCCTTATCCCCAAAAAGAATAAGCTTGGAGAGATGGGAAAGTTCAAGCCTATCAGTCTTTGCAATGGAGTTACAAGATTATTTCTAAACCACTTTGCAAGAGACTCAAGAGGGTCATGCCGAGCCTAATCTTGGAGACACAATTTAGCTTGTGGCAAGACGTTTGGCTACAAATAATATTCTGCTGGCACAAGAAAATTTTCACACCCTATGGACTAATGTGAGATGTAAGGAATAATTTATGGCTATGAAAACAAACATGAACAAAACCTACGACATAGTGGAATAAAGTTTATTGAAGCTTTGATGTTGAAGATGGGTCTCATACCAAGTTCTAATAAGTGGAGAGGCAAGAGGGAAAATCTTACCAAGGAGGGATCTACGGCAAGGAGACCCTTTATCTCTATTTTATTTAGCTTGTGCACGAAGGCACTAATCTTTGTCCTAAACCGAGCAGAAGCTGATAAAAGGATTTTGGGACTTCGTTTTAGGGCGAGTCCCAGGATCGCTCATGTCTTTTTAGTAGATAATAGCCTCTTTTTTTGTAGGGCGGAAGTTAGCCAATGTACAAAGATTATGAGCATCCTAGATATCTACGGGAAAACATCCGGCCAAAGAATAAATGTGGCAAAATCTTTTAGCATCTTTGGAAACAGAGTTGATCACTCCTTGAAATATGATATCAAAACTGTCCTTGCCATTTTAAATGAAAAAGACATGGGATTGTACTTGATTTGCCCAAAATTTATTTGGGGAAACTGTTTTTTTTAGACCAAATAGGTTTGAACATTGTCCCTTTAGTGTAAATTATATTTTGTACCAATTTTGACTCTAATGCCCTTTATTTATTTCTCAAATTATTAAAAAAATAGATTTATGAAGCAAATTTTTTTTTTTTAAATAGTACAAAATGATGAAACCCCTATATCTATATAGTGATATTTTTTTCCTGTTTTGAAAATGTATAAATAATAATTTCAAATATTATTCTACCGAAATTAGAATCCGTATACTACGGATTAGAATACGGAATCCACTTTTTTCACTATTTCTACGAACTGCAGAATATGTTTTCTACGGAGATAACACAAATCTAAAATAGTTTGGAATACACATTCCACGCTTATCATAGAGTTCTAATAAAAGTAGAAATTGAAATCTAAACTTTTACTTAAATCTAAAACCAGTAGAAATCAGAATCTACATTCTCACAACGTTCTAATACATGTAGAAACTGATTTCATATCTTTTTACACATTTCTACCTTTAGTAGAATCTGAATTCTACGGATAAATATTATTAGATCCGAAAATATAGCAAGAATATATTAGGAAATATTCTGTTTCCATATTTAAAATTCAATTTTATTTATAAAAAAAAAATTCAAAGGTAAAAAACGTTTTTTAAAAAGGAAGATTGAGCTCAACGATCACTCTGCTCCATCATACTCTTGTCCAAAAAACGGTGTTAGAAGATTGCTTGATCATCACGGAAGTAGCAGTAAGACATCTGGTACCGAGGGATACGTCTACTTGATGGCTAAGGATCAGCATGGATGCAGATCCTTGCAGAGGATCCTTTGAAGAAGATAGAATTTCTCTACATACTATGATCATTTTCAGCGAGATGATCCCTCATGCTGCTGAGCTTATGATAAATCCTTTTGGAAATTACTTGATGCAGAAGATATTAGATGTTTGCAATGAAGAACATAAAACAATGATCATACTCGTTGTTACTCAAGAACCAGGTCTGCTTGTCTGGATCTCACTCAACGCTTACAGGTAAGAAATCACTGCATAATCCTGTTTACTTATATAAATCAACTTAATGTTGAGTTTAGGGCTGTGTCTGATTGTTTTGTGTTGTGTGTGTTTTAAGTACTCGACTTGTACATAAGTTAGTAGAAACAATCAAAACCATGAAGCAGATTTTTCTGGTAAAGCCAGCTTTGAGACATGGTTTTCTTAACCTAGTTAGGGATGTGAATGGTAATCATGTAATTCAGCGTTGCTTGCACTGCCTTAGTACACAAGATAACAAGGTAAATGACACAAATACCTTTTCATTTTTATTAGATAAAAAACTTATTATTTCTCCTTCCTCTGTTTTTAGTTCATCAATGAAGATGCTACATTGATATGGCTACACATCAAGATGGATGCTGCGTGTTACCAAAATGTATTTCTTATTCCACTGGACAACAACGAGAGAAGCTCATAGCCGAAGTCTCTAGAAACAGTCTCTTCCTTTCTAAAGACCCTTGTGGATAATAAACAGTATCTTATGACACAAGAATCAAAGCCTCTGAGTCTGAGAGAGAAGGCTTAGTGACCTTAAGCTCACCAGTCACTAATGAAAACAGTCTTGAGAGGTCTGTTCCACAATGATCTTGCGTTCTGAGCTCTTTCATCTCCCAGAAACTCTGCAAAATCGTTGAACTGTCGAATCTTCTCTGACGGCTTAAACGTTGGCACTGCTGCTATACTCGTCACCACATCTAACCCTGTACAGAGATTTTTATTTCTTGAAATTAAATTCAACATTAATATAATGTCAAAGAAAGTTACCTTCAAGCACAGTTCCAAAGACAATGTTGCCACCGTCAAGCTGCGGACAAGGACCATGTCCTGTAGTGATCAAGAACTCGACATTCCTGTACTCAGGATCGAGTCTGGTTTCATCATCATCGTTGTTTTCAGACAAGCAGAGAGAGACTAGTCCAGGACGAGCGTGAGGGATAAGGAAAGACTTGGAATTAATATTCGAGGCAAATTCTTCCGGAGAGGACCAACCTCCGTCGTGTCTCGCCGTAGTCCCTGTCTTCCGGCGAGGAAAAACTGGCCGGGGAAGATTTTTTGGATGGGAGTGTTTTTGTAAGAGGTAGAAGGGGAAGTGCACATGAGTTTGAAAGTGGAGACAGTGAGGGGAACATGACGGCCATATAGTCCGAGAAAGACGCGGTTGAGAGGAGTGGCGTCGGAGGAGCAAGGTGTGGTGGGGGAGAGTGTGGCGAGGGATCGGAGCGGAAGTAAGTGGGACAGAGGGAGAAATCGAGGAAGACGCGATCGGCGATTGTTACGTCTGGGGAAGGAATCTGAGGGGAAAGGGATACGGTGGCTATTGTGGTGGAGAGGAGGAGGTTAAGACGGGTAATCTTTTTAAAATTATATTATATTTAATTATTAAAAAAATAATTTGTTATAATTATAATTAACCTAATTACGAATTAATAATTAAAACAGTATAATTTAAGGGTAGTATTGTCATTTAGAAAATGTTTAGTCTATTGGGACAATAAGTGAATGAATTTAACCTAAGGGGACAATGTCCAAACCTATTTAGCTTAAGAAAACTATTTTCTCAATTTATTTTTGATCAAAGATGAAAGTTTCTGCTTCATACATGATCTACATGACGAGCATGCCAATACATGGTCATCACTACTCTTATCAAAAGGAGGGAAAGAAGTCCAAGTAAAATTTGTGCACAAGTAATACCAACTTTTGTGACGGCATATTTTCTACTCCCACAAGGCATTATCGATAAAGAGGTAAGATTTCAAATTTTTGGTGGAATTCAAACAAAACAATAGAGGCCTACACTTGATTGTTTGGATGAAATCTGTACCTCTAAGGATTTGGGGCACTGGGTTTTTGTGATCATCATGACTTTAATATAATGCTTTTTGCATAAACAACTGTGGAGTTAAATTCAATTTATATCGTCCTTATTAACCCGTGTCCAGAAGAGAAAATCTATAATCATGCTTCCCCTTGAGAAGACCAAAAAGTGTATCCACCATCATTTGGATAACGTAGTATCATGGTTGGAAAACAATTACTCAAGTCAGGTTTGTATAAAACCGCTGAATTGGGGTGAGATACTAGGATATGGAGTGATCATTGGGTTCGAAACTCAGTTGTTTGCCCGTCTAGAGCCCCATACCATTTAATCTACAAATATCCAACTTAGTCATTTATTAGAAAGGATACTAAAGAAGGAGACCTATAGCTTTTATGTGATTTTTTTCACCTTAAGGATATATATACTTTTGATCCTTGCATTGAGATCTTCTTGTTGGCTATCCTTAAATGGATATATATGGAACCTTACATAATTGAGAATATACTTAGTTAAATTTCCATATAAACTATTTAGATTAACCAAATTGGAAATATATTCAGTTAAATCTTTAATAAAATATATTCATCGTTTTAATTATATATATATTTATGACAATAGCAATTTATTGTCATCTCAGAAAACTTATTTTTTCATTATTCGTTTATTATTAATAAAGATGCAAAATTAAAAATAATTTTTGTTTAAATCTTATTTATATCAATGTGTGGCGGCGGCTCTACAATTTTTTTAGACGAAAATCTTAACCTAATATCTTTATTATAAATTGTGGTTGTGTTTGTTTGTTTGGCAATACCAAACAAACACACAACCAAAGTTTTCAGATCTAGGACTGGGCTCAAGATCTAATATTTGCAGATCTTGGATTTTGATTTCAAATTAAAGGTAAACTATTGGGTGGGGTTTTTCCTGCCTGATTTTAGTTCTGTAATAACAGTTTGAATTCATATCTATCAGTGTAGTTCTTTTATTAAAGTTTGAGAAAACAAACGATGAATCTCTGTAGGGGAAGATCTCGAATAGAGAGGCTGGCGCAAGCTTCTTCTAGCTTGAAATCAAGAAACCCATTTCCCTTAAAGAACTCGTCAACCGTTTTCTCTGTACTTTACCCTTCTCGTTGAAAAGGAGAGATGACTTCCAACATTCAACCCACACTAATCCCAAAGCCCGAGCCAGTCACTGATTCCTACCCACTGCCTCCGCTTCCATCCTCTTCCAACCTCGAAGCTAACTTGAACACAGAGTACAACAATGTCGCAGAGACGGTTCTCTCAGCGTTGGCACAACGCCCCGAGAGGCACGACGTGCTCGATTCTCTAACCGGCGCAATAGTACCGGTTAAGGAGGAAGAAGAACCGATGCCGGTTAGTTACTCACTCGATGAGCCTTCACCGTCCCTCGTGACGCGAAGGCCCAAGCCGCAGGAGCGCTCTTCGGAGCTTGTGAGGATCACTGATGTTGGACCCGAAGGAGAGAGACAGTTCCGAGAAGTTGTAAGGAAGACGAGGATGGTGTACGATTCTCTTAGGATGTTCTTGATTATGGAAGAGAAGCGTGAAGGGTATCCAACGGACAGAAGGAGAGGTAGGGCTGATAGTAAAGCTGCTTCCATGATGAAAGATCGTTTCTTGTGGCTGAACCGTGACAAACGCATCGTGGGTTCGATTCCCGGAGTTCAAATTGGGGATATCTTCTTTTTCAGGCTTGAGCTTTGCGTTATGGGTTTACATGGGCAGACGCAAGCTGGGATTGATTATCTCATAGGGAGCCGCAGCTCTAATGGGGAGCCAATTGCTACTAGTGTGATTGTCTCAGGTGGGTATGAGGATGATGATGATCAAGGAGATGTGATTATCTATACAGGACATGGTGGGCAAGACAAGCTTGGTAGGCAAGCTGAGCATCAGAGGCTTGAAGGTGGGAATCTTGCTTTGGAGAGGAGTATGTATTATGGGATTGAAGTGAGAGTTATTAGAGGGTTTAAGTACGAGAATTCGGTTTCTAGCAAAGTTTATGTCTATGATGGGCTGTTTAGGATTGTTGACTCCTGGTTCGATGTTGGCAAGTCTGGCTTCGGTGTCTTTAAGTTTAGGCTGGAGAGAATCGAAGGGCAGGTTGAGATGGGTAGCTCGGTTTTGAAGCTTGCCAAGACTCTTAAAACCAACCCCTTGTCTGTCAAACCAAGCGGTTACATCACCTTCGATGTCTCTAACAGGAAGGAGAATGCTCCTGTGTTTTTGTTTAACGACATTGACAACGATCAAGAGCCTTTGTATTACGAGTATCTCACCAAAACATCGTTTCCGCGTGGCATATTGTTTCAACAGGGTGGTACTGCAAGTGGATGCAACTGTATCTCGGGCTGTACCAGTGGCTGCCTTTGTGAAATGAAAAATGGAGGTGAGTTTGCTTATGATTACAATGGGAATTTGGTAAGACTCAGACCGTTAATACATGAGTGTGGACCGGCATGCAACTGCCCTCCAACTTGTCGTAACCGTGTGACTCAACACGGTTTGAGGAGGAGACTAGAAGTGTTTAGGTCGGTGGAAACAGGTTGGGGAGTTCGGTCTTTAGATATATTACATGCTGGTTCTTTTATCTGTGAATATGTCGGGGTTGCTTTGACAAGGGAACAAGCCAACATTCTGACCATGAATGGTGATACATTGGTGTATCCTGCTCGGTTTTCTTCCGCAAGGTGGAAAGCTTGGGGAGATTTGTCTCAGGTTTTTCCTGATTATGAGCGACCTTCCTACCCTCATATTCCTCCTGTTGATTTCGCAATGGATGTGTCGAAGATGAGGAATGTTGCTTGTTACATAAGCCACAGTACTGATTCAAATGTCATTGTTCAGTTCGTACTACATGATCACAACAATCTGATGTTCCCTCGTGTTATGCTTTTCGCTGCTGAGAACATTCCTCCCATGACTGAGCTTAGCCTTGATTATGGAGTATCTGATGAATGGAGCCCCAAGCTTGCCATTTGTAACTAAAATCGTCCTTAACCAAGCCGCCATATTTTTCCATGTAAAAATGAGGTAAAGGTTTAAGAATTTGATAAAAGAAGTCTGTAATGTTATGCAAGAACTGGTTCCAAAGGAGTCTAGATCGATGAAAGATCTAGCTTGAGGACAGTTTTCGTTAGTTTTCTTCTGTTTTGCTCCTGCACAATGTACTTGGGGTCAAAGTGTGTACATCTGATATTGAGATCTATTTTTTCTTACAGATTGTAATCAAGTGGGAGTCACAGATATAATAGATTTCTCACCAAATTACACCTGCTTAAACCGTAAAAATGCACTTTCCCGCAATAATGCATTTCTTATCAAAACTGCAAAATTACATTTTCCATTAAAATTGTAAAACTCATTTTCTCGTCAAAACTGTAAAAATTCTCCGTTAAAATGCAAAGATGCACTTTCTCACCAACAAGAACACATTTTCCTGCTAAAATCAGTAAAATGCATTTTCTCGGTAAAACTACAAAAAAAAAGTATTTTCCTGCCGAAAACGCAAAAACTTAATTTCCTGTGAATCTCGCAAAACTCATTTTTCCACCCAACCATATTTTAAAATAATTATATTTTAAATAATTAATTAAAATTAATATAGTGAAACAAAAGTAAAATATAATTAAATCAAAACAACGATATATTAGTAATTTATTTAGTAAACTCAATGAAAATAAAGAAAGTACATCATAGATGGTTTATTTAGATGAATCATCTGGATGGATAAATAAATAGTTTCATTAATTATGGATGGATTATCTAAATGGCTCATATAAATGAATTAGTTGGATGGAGATGACAGATGATGAAACAAACGGCCCAGAAGTAAGAAGAAAGAAATATGTTCCCCAAGGTTTCATTCTTCCCATTGTGTAGAAGTTATTTTCATTCCTTACCACAAGTGTTTGACGTATCGGTACATGTGTTCAGTTCTAGCATGTTAATGTTTAGGTGGGTGGATATTAAAACATCTTCAGTAATACTCCAATTTTCCATCTAATCACCAAATATCAAGTAAATTTTTTTTCAATGGTACATCAAATTTTACACCAATTTAGAGGAATGACCAATATATTTCATGTATAGAGAGTATCATTGTTTAGTTACTCTATTTTTAACATAGAATTTTTTTTCTTTACAAAATGACCACTCATTTTGATATGTTTTCATTTTCTACCTAAATATAATTATATGTTATAAATTTATATTTTTAATTATTATTAAATTAATAAAAATACTTATTAAATTAGCTAAAATGTTAAATGCACTAATAACTTCGACTACATTAGAAAATATGAAATAAACTAAAAATCACATAGACAATAACAAATACTTAATATAGCAAATCCTTATGATTAATACTCTTGTAGAACATTTGCAGATCCACCAAAATCATTAAAAATTGTCCAAATGAAGTTGATGAAGAATGAGCCTGTTGATTCATCATTTTCCTCAATATTTTGTGTTTGCTCTCCTTGAAGATATGCTCAAATGTTTGGATCTTCTATGAAATTTAAGTTTTGATGTTAACATTTTTCTTTCTTTGAGATTTTTAGTGCATAATTCTTACTTTGCATCTCCACCACTATTGTAAACTTGTCTTTTCTAAATCATCATTATAGGTATTGGTTTCCCTATTCTTAGGTCTTTATTACAACTGATGTCTGATCATCTTTCTTTTTTTTTCTTTTCAGTTGAATTTTTTCATTCAAATTGGTCGTTGAGATTAGGGGTGGGCACGGATCGGATATCCGGTTTTTTTAAGGTATTTGTGATTTGCTTCGACTGTTACGAATATCTAATTTTGGTATTTGCTTTGCTTCAAAAAAATACGGATATCCGGAAAAACGGATATCCGGGAAATAAATAGATATTTGCAGATATTTACGAATATTTACGGATATCTCATTAGTTTTGATTAATACAAATAATCTTAAGATTTTGATACAAATTTTATTTTCAAAAATATTTTTTTTGCATGATATATAAAATAAAAATTAAAAGAACTGGTGAATTTACATATTTTGTAATTTTTTAAAGTTTAAGTTACAATTATAATAACACAAAATTTAAGAAAAAAATACTATTGTCATAAAAATTTTCTCTCTTTTATGTAATACTTTTATATAAGTAATAATGTGAATAGAATTGTTCAAAATAATGTGTTAGAATAATAATTATATAATTTTATACATTTAAAATTTTAAATATAATCAAGATATACATATATTTATATATTTCCGGATCGGATCGGATATCCGCTTCCCAAAATTTTAATATTTGTGATTTGCTTTGATTTTAACGGATATTGAATTTTAGTATTTGCTTTGCTTCGAAAGTTTACGGATATCCGGAATTTTCGGATCGAATCGAAACGAATAACGAATCGAATCAAATATAACGAATAAAATGCCCAGCCCTAGTTGAGATGAGGACCTGCCACTAATGTGTTCTTCTACATTTATAGAAAATGAAAATAAACCTCGAGATACTTTGTCTAATATAATCAGAAATAGTATTTTTATATTCCAAAGATGTATATCCAAAACCACATATATTAACATCTCTTTTACCAATGTTGTAACCATCTTTATACATTTCGAAATTCTTTACAAAATTTCATTCATGATCAAATTTCCAACCATATTATAATATGGATCTTCCCTTAATATTTTTAGCTTGAATTGATATGCTTATAAATTTAGAAGATAAATAGCAAAATACTGATAAACATTGAATACTTAATATAAATTTTATATTAATACTTACATTTATGCATCAAATAATATTAAAATAGATGTTCAAGTGGTGTTTCAAATGATTCTTTTTTTTTGCTCAAAAAAACTAATCATTTAAAACACCATTTGAACGTCTATTTTCACATTATTTGATGCATGAATGTAATTTTCTTACTGCTTTTTCAATGGTTTAAAAACGGCTTTGAACATATCTTTTTGTACGTTCACTTTAGGTTACATTTTGTCATCTTCAAAAGCGCCAAGTCCATGATCCCAAAATTGGTTGATGTTTGATAACCGCCTTTGACTGGATCTTGAAAATACATCAATATTCTCAGAAAAGTTTCTCTTTCAAATGAATTTAATTCTGTTTTCAAAGATTTTCATGATGCTTCCCAATCATCATCCTCTATAGTTGATGAAAATACAAAAAAATATTAGAAAAATGTCTTATTTCTTCGGTACAGACGAGAAAGAGGAAAAAATCGACGATGAAATCAAACCAACGACTCTTCCTAGCATTCTTCAGTTGAAAAGCATCCATCGATCTATGACAATGTGGACAAGATAATCTTCCATGTGTAGTTCATCCAGACAACATACCATAAGTAGGAAAGTCGTTTATCATCCACCGCAAAACTGCTCGCATTGTAAACTATTTTTCATGGAACAATCATACTTCCTCACCCCTTCTAACCACAAATTCTGCACCTCATGTATCAATTGTTGAAGAAAAACATCTAACGACCATTTTGGATGCTTTGGACCAGGGACTAATATGGTTAAGAATATAAATTCTTGTCCCATGAACACCTTCGGAGGTAGGTTGTATGTCGTAAGAATGACTAGCCACAAAGAATATTGTCTCCCAGACATTCCAAATGGACTAAATCCGTCTGTGCATAACCCAAGATAGAATCTCCAAATATTTCTAGCGAAATTTGGGTGTACCTTGTTGAAATGTTTCCACCCTCTTGCATCTGATGGATGAGCAATCTCACCATCCCTCTGGGCATGTTCAGCATGCCATCTCATCGCTCCGGCAGTTCTCTTAGATTGATTTAATCTTTTCAATCTGTCTGTAATGGGTAAGTACCACAACTTTTGGTACGGTACCCTATTCCTCCCACGTCCTTGCGGTTTGAATCAAGGCTTCTTGCAGAATCGACACTCTTCTAGATTCTCATCGTCTCTCATGTAGATCATGCAATTGTAGATGCAAACATATATCATCTTCGAAGAAAACCCAGGAATATATACCAATTACTGAATCTCATAATAATATTCAGTTGAGACGTTGTCTTCTGGCAAATACTCTTTAAACAACTCGGCCTATGCATCCATACAATTCTAAGGTAAATTATGATATGTTTTAATATTCATCATCCTAACTGCTAGAGATAATTTAGAGAGACATTTTCTACAACCAGTGTAGATTGGTTGATTTTACAGCATCTAGCATTTCATAAAACCTTTTTGAATCCAAATTAGATTCTTGAACATTTTTCCACTTTCATCAGCTATCGTTGTACTAGTTTCTAAAAATGCATGAGTAATCATTACATGAACCTATCATGATCTACCATATGTTCCTCTTGATGATAACTATATTCATTATGCAAATGATTCTGTTCTTCACTATTACCAGCGCATCCTCAAAATTACTATTACTACTACTAGCTTCATTTCCACCATAATTCTCTCCATGTTGAAACCAAATATAGTAACGTGGTGTAAAATCTCTGTTTACTAAATGTTTCAATACATTTTCACTACGGGCAAGTTTTGAGTTCTTGCACTTTCGACAAGGACATAACATCTTATCGCTTTCTTGTGTGATCGGTGTACAGCTTGCCTGGTACATGAGTGTCTCAATCCCGCTAAATGCATCCATCACTCTACCGAAAAACACTACAAGAAAACACGTCCTCTACTAGGACGGGTTTTCCTCGTTATTTCCTAGTAAATGGTCTTTTACTAGGAAATAACGAGGAAACGCGTTTCGTCGAAAGACGTTCATCGTAAAGCATATTTTCCTTGTAATTTCCTAGCTAATTTACGAGTAAAGATTTCCTCGTAAATGCGTGGAAAAGGTTTCCTCGTAAGGTCCACGTAGGCTTTCCTCGTAAGGGCATAGTAAACTATTTCCTCGTAATCTCGTAGTTGGCTCTTTACGAGGAACTTGCTTGGAAAGTTTACGAGGAGTTTACTTCGAAACTTTTACGAGGATTTTGCTTCGAAACAGTTTTTTCTTATTTAAAAAAAAATATTTATAAATTAAAAATTATATATATTAGAAAAAATTAAAAAAACCAAATTATAAATAAAAAAATAAATAACAAAATATTTATAAATAACTAAATAATATACAATTAATAAGTTTTAAAATTCATAATATACAATTTAAAACTAAAAAAAACTAAAAGGGATGCTGCTCTTGAAATTGGTGCACGAAGTCATCGTCTCCAATGTTGGATGCCGGCTGTGACTGAGATGGTGGAGGCTGTTGGGATGG